TGGATACTTTTCAAACACAAAAAGTAAATATGATAGGCTCAACTAAGTGCACCAACAACGTATGCAAAACAATATAGATACTTAAGGAAACTAGAAGTAAAAACAATATCACAAGATATGAAAACGTAGGAGCACCTAAGCAATTCAAACTAGTACAAGATATATCAATATGAGCTAGGATGAATTGTGGAAAGTGAAGGGTGTGGGAATAACCACAGGTGAGTCGGGGACGCAAATTTATGCCAAAGTTTACACTCGTGAGAGTGCTAATATCCGAGGGAGCGATGTTGAGGCCAAAGCTCTGGAATGCCACCAAGTGGCTCACCATATTTTCCCTTTCGAGTCACCTCCACGGACGAGCCTCGATTCACTCATGGTTGGTATTGAAGGACACCACCATGCCTTTATAAATTTCTCCGGAGCACACCATAAGAAAGGAAGCTTCCAAAGGTACCTTGAACACCTAGGCCACTTCATACCCTTACCTGGAGCATGCCAAAAAAAGAAGCTTCTGGGGGAACCTCAACCACCTAGGCCTCTTCACAAACTTCTCAAAGATATCACTAGACCATCTAGGAGGCGAAAGCCTCAAAGTAATAAACTCACGGGCTCTCACTCGAACAAATCGATTCGGGGAGCTCAAACCAATGCAACAAATGCAAAGCAAGGTCAAGCGACAAATTCCCAACACACTCTCTCAATCTCACAAGATGCAACTCAAGAAAGTAGGAGATTGAAGATATATGATACAATGGAGGGAATCAACAAATAACTACAAGATCCATACACAAATCCCTCTTCACATAGAGGGGATGTAGGAGTTTGAGAGAGGTGGTTTGTGGCTCAAAGTAATAAACTCACGGGCTCTCACTAGAACAAATCGATGTAGGGAAGAAGGGACCTTTTATAGCCAACCCCTAAAACTAGCCGCTGTGGCTCCAACAGACACTTCCTGGACACCCGGTGCCCATGAGGGTCAAGACCTCGTGCCCATGGGGTCCACGTATCGACGACCTCAAAACCCCATGCCCATGGGGTACCCAGAAATAGCCCAAAGCAGGAAACTTAAATATACATAACTGTGGCATACAAACTCCAGTTTCGATGATCTTGGGCTTGTTTTAAAGCTCTGGACAAGCTCAAGGTCCTCATGTAGAGAACCACCCAAGATCAACAAGAAATAATGATGCAAAACATGCAAAGGTTTGAGATCTCTACATGTGATGTATTCAAGCTACTCGCCCTAAAGTCCCTCTTGATAGTATGACTATCAAACCTACAATCTCGTCTCCCTCGAAGCACCATGAGACCGGTAAAACTAGGAAAACCTAGCTAAGGTATACATTTGCCTTGCGTATTCCACTTCAGCTTGATGATGGCTTTAATACTTGCGTCAAGTTGGACACCTTTTCTTGACCACGAACACTTGGTGAAGATATATGAATTGCTTTCCCATATTGCAACGAGGGAAGCCTTCACTTAAGAACATCTTCACATGTACAAAAGCACAATGTGGACCACAATCTTCAAAGAATATAACCTCCGGCCTCTCATCTTACACTTGGAACTTCTCAAACTCGATGACCATCACCACTTGATGTCATCCTCACATAGGCTACTCGAAATCTTTCTTTTGATGCAAGACTATGAGAAATACCTAACAGACAAAGACACAACAAACACATAGCACATGTTAGTGCACAAAACACAATTCACAATTACTTACCATACCACTAGCTAGATCACATGATCCCATGCGGTATTGTTTGTGCTTGTGTGTTAATCATCCAGATATAATCTTCGAGCTTCATCTTGGTCAACCAACATCTATACTTCATGGTCCATATTGGTTTCTTAAAATCCATAAAGAACTCTTCATTTTACGTCATTTCTTCAAGACTAGGTCACCAATGACTCTTTCATGACCATATCAAGATTCACCATGAACATCATATTGGTCATCATTTGCTCTTTTAAATGCCCATCACAAACTCTTGAGTGGCACAATGAATTCTTCACTCTATTTTCTTGCTTCAAAACATGATCAATCAAAACTCAGCACATGAGCTCATCATGATCTTCTTTTGATGATACCGTAGCTTGAATTCTTCTCTTTAATTATACTCTCAAGACCTTGATTTTTATAAGCCCAAATGTGCAACCTTTGAGATCCTCTAGTGAACTCCACCTTCAAACATATTTGGGTAGACACTGAAATCAATCTTGATGGCTTCATTAGATACATCCAAAAACAAACTAGTATCCTCAGTAGGCAAGAGACCCTGAGAGTCAAACCCTAGGCCCCGTGTGCAAGGGGTGAGAGACCCCGTGCGCACGAGGTATCTAGAGATTGTAACACTCGATCCCATGTGCACGGGGAACAGGAAGCCCATGCGTACGGGGTGTCCAAAGAGAATACCATGAGGAATTCTTCGAGACGCTTTTGATGGAACTCTTCCCAAATAATTCCGACAAGCTTCATACATCACCGTGGAACATTTCTTCATATAATATACAATGCCCTTGATGCTCCATAGGAATTGTCATTCAACACCAAAGCTTAGAGAAAATCTTCGTCTTTATCCTAATCATCCTTAAGACACCATCTATGTTGTATTGTTTCAAATATATCTCAGTGAAAGCATTAGACCATAGAGATGGTCATGAATTACCAAAACAACACATAGGGACTACATGCCCTTTCTCCAGGTGTCATATCCTTGTCACCGAGCATCACTGCTATACTGAGCAATGAGAGCCCGTTGCCTAGGTAGATCCACAATCCCTAGCGTGCAAAAAAGTTGAAGTCGCCACTCGGGTGTAGCGTGAGGATAAACCGGTTGTTTGGATTGGTGAAAAATCCGGCCCTCTACTAAGTTTCCTAGCAAAATTGAAGTGATACGTTATGTCATCGATATTCGGATTCCTCTGGTTGATGTAGCGGGCGAGGAGTCTAGCAGTGGCCCTCCCCCATCAGTTCCCTACTCTGGCTCAAGCACCACAAAGATACTCGACATTCATATCGACGCCCCGCCCACAAGATCCTCCTGCTGCCCTACAAGACTGCCCTTGCTCAATACATGCATAAGCATGCGCCACCAAGCTACTTCGGGTGGGTAGGAGCCTTATCGACGCCCCCTTGATCGCGCCTATCGCCAACAGACAACATCAGACGAGTGTGCACTGAGATTGGAACGATACTAAGATGAAAACCAAATAGAGAATTATCAAAAACAGAAGATCAATTTCCAGACCTAGGGCGCGCAATTTATAAAGGTCACCCAGGGGTTCTTTTCTTCACGTCGTCAATATTCAGAGGGAGACCTAGTAAAGCAGGACGGATCGTAGATGTTGCACACTCGGAGACACAGATTGTTCGAAGACTCTTGACACTCATGTGCATGATCAGGAAGGCTTGACATGATCACCCGTGTTTCGCGTAAACCCTAACCCTAGCGCGTAGCCAGACGGCGTTGTTCCCAATCGAAGTACTTTGCCGATCCAATTACCAGAAAATCGGTTGAGGCGTTGCTTTCCCTGGCGTCCACCCCATACGAAGATCCAACCAAAAACACTTTTACACATGCAGTGCAGTACTGTACTCCTGAGCTATCATCTCCAGTGATTTGTAAAGCCATAAACACGTACGTCCTCTATTGGGAAGCGCGGATCGATCACTCACTGAAGAGAGCTAGCTACACACCGCAGCCACCGAAAGTAAAGAACAGAGAGCAGAGCCATGACCCGCAAAAAAAGAAAGAGAAAAGAGAGCAGAGCCATAAGCACAACTGCACAAGCACGAGCACGAGCACCACCTTCGGCGCTGCTGCGTCGGCTTCGCTGCGTGGCTCGTTGTCTACCTCGCGCCCCACCCCAGTACCCCACCAAGCCTTCATGAGACCAAACGTGGTTACAATAAAAACTAAAAAATAGAAATGCAACAAACTACCATCTGGCTTGGTTGCTCTTAACAATAAATAAAAACTTTTACAACGAGGTCAGAAATAATTCAGAGCCTGACTACAAGCACAGCCTGGGATTCGATGCCGGCGGCTGTGAGCATGTGCCGAGCGAAGCTAAAGGAAAAGGGCTCAATGGTAGGTGGTATATGCATATCCATCAGCTACGGATGCTGCCTACCCTTAGCTAGAAAGGTTCGCGAAATATCCGTATATGCAAAAAGTTTCACTTAAATCCATATATTTGCGTACTCAGTGGTAGTCGGTGACTCTCGCGTGGAAACGCTCAGGTTAAATATGAAGCAAATCGCGCTGGAGAGAGGGGACATCGACTCGGGAGTTGGGGAGCGGCGGTGCGTGTAGGGCACCCTGTCCACAAACGCGCACTTGATTGCAGGTACGCATGATTCCATATGATGCGCCGCACGCCCTGGGTGTCCTACATTCACGCCCATCGGCGCAGATAGACAACAACAACCGGGCAGCAGCGGCCCATAACTTTTAGCCATTTTTTCTTCTAACAGTGTCATTCTAGAGCACGCGATTTTACTAGTACCGTATTTTTGTTTTGACAATGACAATCTCTCCATCTCAGCTAAAATATTTGGCGGGCATCGGTGAGATCTGCCACTATTAGTCTAGTATGAGTTGCGCTCACTGCTTCCTTACGCCTCCGTAAATAAAGATTGATGTCAACATAGCCCGATAAGGCGATCGAGCGGTGGTACACATGGCCGTGTCAAACGCAAATTGGGACTCACTTCATGATCACCAAGCTGCATCAAACAGCAGAATAAATGAAGAATCTCAAAGCGCACGCGCATGCAGGACCAAGTTACTTGCCAATCGAATTGGCAGAAGAATCTTCTTCGGTTGAGACGTTTTTTATCGAGGAAAATTCTTCGGTTGAGACGTTGCTTTCTGGCCTCCACTCCCATCATCCTACTTTTAAAGCCATTAACACCCACTGGAGAGAGTAGCTAGCGCGCCACTGCACGCACACCCACCAGTCACACAGAGCACAGTACAGAGAGCAGAGCCATGAACAAGGAGAAGCACCACACGTACGAGAACCACCTCCGGCGCTGCTGCAATGGCTTCGCGGCGTGCCTCCTGGCGCTGGTCGTCGTCGTCGCATTCATCGCGCTCGTCGTCTACCTTGCGCTCCGCCCCACCAAGCCTTCCTTCTACTTGCAGGACCTGCAGCTCCACTCCATCAACCTCGGGGACCCCTCCCTCTCTGCCACCGCGCAGGTCACGCTCGCCTCCCGCAACCCCAATGACCGCGTCGGCATCTTCTACAGGCGCCTCGACGTCTTCGTCACCTACCGCGACGAGCCCGTCACCGTGCCGATCTCCCTGCCGCCCATGTACCAGGGCCACCGGGACGTCACCATTTGGTCGCCCGTGCTGTCCGGGGAGTCCGTGCCCGTCGCCGGATACGTCGCCGAGGCCATGAAGCAGGACATCGCCTCCGGGTACGTGTCGCTGCAGGTCAAGATCGACGGCCGCGTCAAGTGGAAGGTCGGGACCTGGGTCTCCGGCAGCTACCACCTCTTCGTCAGCTGCCCCGCCATGCTCGCCGCCGGCCCCGGCGGCATGCCGCTCGGAGGTGGCCCCAATGGCACCGGGGGCGCCGTCGCGTCACTGAAATTCACGCAGCCGACAGGGTGCACCGTCGGCACATGATAGAATGGACCGCTCATACGGCCGCACGTCCGTACTGTAAGTGGAAGGAACTACGTAGCCGGCTAGTTCTTCTCTTCGTGTCTCTAAACAATTTCTGTTTGTTGTTAGTAATAAATTGTCTAAAGCTCTCTTAATTTTTGTATGTCACGTGTAATGGGAGAATAAACTGTGTTGATATATGTGCTTCAATTATTTTTTTGAATTTTTTTTTTGAGATCTGTTTTTTTGGAAATGAAAAGGTGAAATGAAAAAGGTAGAATATTATATATTTCAAAAGGCCGAAGCCTAAAGACCATAGGTCAAATACATGAGGCTCATTTTACCCGTCGTGGTGCGTAGGCCATGAGCAGCCTAGAGAAGAAACAAGAGACGTGAAGGAGAGAAAGAGAGATGATCATGCAGAACTAGGCAAGCTAAGCTAAGCCCAGAAAGTTTGCTACCAAGACAAGATTGCTGCTTTGCCCTCTTGGCGTCGTGCTCGGTGGCACCAAAGTGATAACAACTCTGCCGTGTACATCCTAGTATAGGACGGTGACCAGCGCTTATGATTGAACACACGGTTATTCCTGGCGTGCCAAAGAGTGACTACACAAGCAACAATCAGAATGTTCAATTTGCATGATGAAGGCCAGCGTAAAAGAGCGCGTTGAAAGAAGTCTGATAAATCCGTGGAATTGTAAGTAGCATCAAGCAGTTCAAATCTCTCCCAGACCGCAGAAGCACGGCTGCATCACAAAGCCAGATAGCTGATGGACTCAATTGCTGGGCAGATATCACAGTGAGCATGTGCAGTAATAGAGGACCACTGTTTCTTTACCATATTGTCCCGAGTGTTCAGTCGACCCCAGAAAGCCAACCAAAGGAAGATTCTGTACTTTAGGGGAATGACAGGGTCCCAAACCCACCGCTGGAATACACTGGTCACACCTCTGAAAGTAAGAAGTTGGTAAAAGTACGCAATATTCACTTCATTATTATATAGAGAAGAGAAACGATGTTCCTGGCTGGCAGACGATGGATAAACTCCCAACAAAATTGTCTGCAGAAGATGCAACTCCCAGGTGGCCGCTTGAGTCAGATTTGGGTGCAAATGAATATCCAAAAAATTATCAGAAAACTGTGAAGCAACACTGCACCAACTGTTCTCCGCATAGGAAAACAGAACTGGAAATTCATGACACAAACGCCTAAAAGCAAGCCATTTGTCATGGCAAAACGAAACAAGTTGCCCAGCACCCAAGGAGCAGCGGGAAGCAGACATAACCAACGGGATAAACTGTTTGAAACCCTTCCAGATTGGCGTGTCTCTATTGTGAGAGCCATTAAGCACCTGATTATTGCAATATTGTGCTGCAAACCACTGGAAACAAGGTATATCAGACTGTTGCAAGACCTTGGCAGTGAATTTGCGGAGCATAGCTTTATTATGAGCAGGGAGATCCCTCATGCCCAACCCACCGGGAGCCCTTTGTCAAAGTAACGTACTCCAACGCCACCAGACAATGGCCATGTTGGAAATATGCCCTAGAGGCAATAATAAAGTGGTTATTATTATATTTCCTTGTTCATGATAATCGTTTATTATCCATGCTATAAGTGTATTGACCGGAAACTTAAATGCATGTGTGGATACATAGACAACAACATGTCCCTAGTGATCCTCTACCGGAGTAGCTCGTTGATCAAAGATGGCTATGGTTTCCTAGCCATAGACATGAGTTGTCATTTGATAACGGGATCACATCATTAGAAGAATGATGTGATGGACAAGACCCAAACTATGAACGTAGCATATGATCATGTCAAGTTTATTGCTATTGTTTTCTGCATGTCAAGTATATGTTCCTATGACCACGAGATCATGCAACTCACTGACACCTAAGGAGTACCTTGTGTGTACCAAACGTCGCAACATAATTGGGTGACTATCATGGTGCTCTACAGGTATCTCCGACGATGTCTGTTGAGTTGGCATGGATCAAGACTGGGATTTGTCACTCCGTATGACGAAGAGGTATCTGAGGGCCCACTCGGTAATATAGCATCACAACAGGCTTGCAAGAAATGTGACTAATGAGGTAGTCAGGGGATCTTGTATTACGGAACGAGTAAAGAAACTTGCCGGTAACGAGATTGAACTAGGTATGGTGATACCAATGATCGAATCTCGGGCAAGTAACATACCGATAGACATCGAGGTTTGACCGATAAAGATCTTTGTAGAATATGTAGGAACCAATATGGACATCTAGGTCCTGCTATTGGTTATTGGTCATAGAGGTGTCTCGCGGGTCTACACACTTAGAGTTTGATGAAGATATAAGTATAGTTGAGTTGTTATGGTGGTAACCGAAGGTAGTTCGGGGTCCCGGATGAGATCCCAGACATGACGAGGAACTCCGAAATGGTCCGGTGGTGAAGATTGATATATAGGATGAAGGGTATCAGAGTACGGAATTGTTCCGGGGGTACCGAGTTATGGCCAAGAGAACCGAAAGGGGTTTCGGGGGCCCCATGCAGGTGTTGGGGGGGGGGGCTCATGGGCCAAGGGGAGGGAGCACACCAGCCCTCTAAGGGGTTGTGCCCCCCACCCCATCCCACCATCACCAGAGAAGGTGGGGCTCCCCCTAGGGCTGCATCCACTTGGCTTGGGGGCAAGCTATCCTAGGGTTTCCTTAGGGGCTCCCCAATCTGTGGTGGCCCCCCCTAGGGGAAACCCTAGGGCGCCCCCTCCTCCTCCCTTCCCCCTATATATAGAGGGGTAGAGGGAGGGCAACCGCACCCCCATCTATGCTACGGCGCTGCCCTCTCTCTCTCTCTCTCTCTCTCTCTCTCTCCGCGCAGCTTAGCGAAGCTCTGCTGAGATTGCTCCACCACCACCGCCACCATGCCGTCGTGCTGCCGGAGGAGTCGATCTATTACTTCACCATCGCTCGCTGGATCGAGGAGGTGAAGGCATCACCGAGCCGTACGTGTGTTGAACGCGGAGGTGCCGTCCGTTCGACACTTGGATCGAGAGTTCGTGACCGATCGTGATTGGATCGTGAAGATGTTCGACTACATCAACCATGTTTCTTAACGCTTCCTCTTAGCAATCTACACGGGTGAGCATAGGATTTTTTTTCTTTCCATCCAACATTCCTCAATAGTGGTATCAGAGCTAGATCTTGCGTAGATGACATCACGACTAGAACACAAAGGAGTTTGTGGGCGTTGATATTCATATTGCTTCCTTCCTTGGTCTTTTCTTGATTTAGCGGTATTGTGGGATGAAGCGGCCCGAACCAACTTTACATGTCCACGTACATGAGACCGGTTCCATCGACTGACATGCAACTTGTTGCATAAAGATGGCTGGCGGGTGTCTATCTCTCCCACCTTCATTGAGTCAGATTCGACAAAGGCGGTCCTTGTAGAAGGTTAAATAGCAACTTGCATATCACCGTTGTGGCTTTGCGTAGGTAAGAATCGTTCTTGCTAGATACCCATAGTAGCCAAGTAAAACATGCAACAACAATTAGAGGACATCTAACTTGTTTTTGCAGGGTATGTTGTGAAATGATATGGCCAAAGACATGATGAGATATATTTGATGTATGAGATGATCATGTTTTGTATAGTTTAACACGACTTGCATGTTGATGAATACGACAACCAGCAGGACCCATAGGGTTGTCTTTAATTATTGTATGACCTGCGTGTCAATCATTGATAACCCACAAGTATAGGGGATCGTTTGTAGCCTTTTTCGACAAATAAGAGTGTCAAACCCAATGAGGAGCTAAAGGCAGAACAAATATTCCCTCAAGTTCTATCGACCACCGATACAACTCTATGCACACTTTACGTTTGCTTTACCTAGAACAAGTATAAAGCTATTTGGTAGGTGAAAGGATAAGTTTGCAAGAATAAAACTAGAAGTACTTTGCAAGAATAAAACTATGAGTAAAATGCAAGACAATAAAAGTAGATAGCTTTTGTCAACAAGAAAGTCAATTGTCCCTAGGTGATCGATAACTAAACCGGTGATCATTGTTGTAATTTTATATGAGGGAGAGGCATGAGCTAACATACTTTCTCTACTTGGATCATATGCACTTATGATTGGAACTCTAGCAAGCATCCACAACTACTAAAGATCATTGAGGTTGTAAAACCCAACCATAGCATTAAGTATCAAGTCCTCTTTATCCCATACGCAATGACCCCCAAACTCGGGTATGTGCTTCTGTCACTCGCGCCACCCACCATAAGCGAACCATTAACATATTGTAACACCCTACAGCGGGGATCCCCCACGTTTGCGCTACACGGAGGGCACTGTAGGACAACACCAAAATAAAATATACAACTCAAACCATTCATGATCATATATCAACCCATAGGACAAAATGGATCTACTCAAACAACATAAGATAGCCATAGATCATTGGGAAATAATATATAGCGTTGAGCTCCAGGTTTAAGTAGAGATTACATTGGGGAAATGAGGTGTTACACTGCTGCATAGAGGGGGAGAAAGTTGGTGTTGACGGTAGCAAGATTGTTGATGTAGATCACCGTCACGATCCTTGCCCCAACGGCGTTCCGGCGCCACCAAGAGAGAGGGGGAGAGCGCCCCCCTTCTTCTTCTTACTTGGCCTCCCCCCTAGATGGGAGGAGAGTCCCCCCTCTGGTCCATGGCCTCCATGGCGGCGGAGGGGCAGGAGCCCCACCGAGATTGGATCTCCATCTCTGTTCTCTTCTGTTTCATGTTCCTCAGATCTAGCCGAAAACCGTTTCTTATATTCCTGGAGATCTGTAACTCCGATCGCGCTGAGATTTTAATACAGTTTTTTTCGGATATAAGCTTCCTTGCGCCCGAAGTAGAGCTCCAACCGACGTATGAGGAGGGCACAAGCACCACCACACGCCTGGGCTGCCTAGCGTGCCCATGTGTCTTGTGGTGGTTGTGGGCCCCCATTTGCGTTGATTCCACCTCCCAAAATCACAAATATTCCAAAATAATTCTCTGTAAAATTTTATTGCATTTGGACTTCGTTTGATATGGATATTCTGCGAAACAAAAAACATGCAAAAAAACAGGAACTAACCCTGGTCACTGGATCAATAGGTTAGTCCAATAAATCATATAAAATGTTGCCAAAAGCATGTGAAACTTGTATAATATTGGCATGAAACAATAAAAAATTATAGATACGACGGAGACGTATCAATCATTATGCGCTATGTAATGCTTTACTTTATCGCTAAATAGTAGCAGTAGTAGTAGAAGCATGGTTGGCGTGACAACTCCGATGGAGACACGATGATGGAGATCATGGTGTCATGCCGGTGATGATGGAGATCATGCCAATGCTTTGGAGATGGAGATCAAAAGCACAAGATGATGGCCATATCATGTCACTTATGATTTGCATGTGATGTTAATCCTTTTATGCATCTTATTTTGCTTAGGATGACGGTAGCATTATAAGGTGATCCCTCACTAAAATTTCAAGATAAAATTGTGTTCTCCCCAAGTGTGCACCGTTGCGAAAGTTCATCGTTTCGAAGCACCATGCGATGATCGGGTGTGATAGACTCTACGTTCACATACAACGGGTGCAAGCCAGTTTTGCACATGCAGAACACTTGGGTTAAACTTGACGAGACTAGCATGTACAGACATGGCCTCGGAACACAAGAGACCGAAAGTATGAACATGAGTAATATAGTAGATATGGTCAACATGGAGATGTTCACCATTGAAACCACCTCATTGTTGGGGAACGTAGCATGCAATTTCAAAAAAAATCCTACGATCACGCAAGATCTATCTAGGAGATGCATAGCAACGAGAGGGGGAGAGTGTGTCTACGTACCCTCGTAGACCGAAAGCGGAAGCGTTAGGTTAACACGGTTGATGTAGTCGAACGTCTTCACGATTCAACCGATCTAGTAACAAACGTACGACACCTCCGTGTTCAGCACACGTTCAACTCGATGACATCCCTCAAACTCTTGATCCAGCAGAGGGGCAAGGGAGAGTTCCGTCTGCATGACTGCATGGTGACGGTGATGCTGATGTGATCCGCGCAGGGCTTCGCCTAATCACTACGACGCTATGAGCGGAGATGTAAACTGTGGAGTGGGGGCATCGCACACGGCTAAGAGAACAATTGATGTGTCTTGGGGTGCCCCCCGCCCTCGTATATAAAGGAGGGGAGGAGGAGGCGGCCGGCCTAGAGGGGGCGCGCCAAGGGGGGAGTCCTACTAGGACTCCTAGTCCTAGTAGGATGCCCTCCCTTTTCCTTTCTTCACCGGAGGGAAAAGGAAGGAGAGGGAGAGGGAGAGGGAAAGGGAAAGGGGGCCGCCGCCCCCTCCCCTAGTCCAATTAGAACTGCCATGGGGGGCATCCACCCCTTGCCGCCCTCCTCTCTCTCCACTAAGGCCCATGTAGGCCCATTAATTCCCCCCGGGGCCCCGGTAACCCCTCAGTACTTCGTTAAAATACCTGAATCACTCAGAACCATTCCGATGTCCGAATACTACCTTCCAATATATGAATCTTTACCTCTCGACCATTTCGAGACTCCTCGTCATGTACGTGATCTCATCCGGGACTCCGAACAAACTTCGGTTACCAGAACACATAACTCATAATACAAATCGTCATCAAATGTTAAGCGTGCGGACCCTACGGGTTCGAGAACTATGTAGACATGACTTAGACACATCTCTGGTCAATAACCAATAGAGGAACCTGGATGCTCATATTGGTTCCTACATATTCTACGGAGATCTTTATCGGTCAAATTGCAATAACAACATGTGTTATTCCCTTTGTCATCGGTACGTTACTTGCCCGAGATTCAATCGTCGGTATCATCATACCTAGTTCAATCTCGTTACCGGAAAGTCTCTTTACTCGTTCCGTAATACATCATCCTGCAACTAACTCATTAGTCACATTGCTTGCAAGGCTTATAGTGATGTGCATTACCGAGAGGGCCCAGAGATACCTCCCCGATACTCGGAGTGAAAAATTCTAATCTTGATTTATGCCAAACCAACAAACACCTTCGGAGACACCTGTAGAGCATCTTTATAATCACCCAGTTACGTTGTGACATTTGATAGCAGACAAGGTGTTCTTCCGGCATTCGGGAGTTCCATAATCTCATAGTGAGAGGAATATGTATAAGTCATGAAGAAAGCAATAGCAATAAAACTTAACGATCATTATGCTAAGCTAACGGATGGGTCTTGTCTAATTCTCTAATGATGTGATCCCGTTCATCACATGACAACACATGTCTATGGTCAGGAAACTTAACCATCTTTGATTAACGAGCTAGTCAAGTAGAGGCATACTAGGGACACTCTGTTTTGTCTATGTATTCACACATGCACTAAGTTTCCAGTTAATACAATTCTAGCATGAATGATAAACATTTATCATGATATAAGGAAATATAAATAACAACTTTATTATTGCATCTAGGGCATATTTCCTTTAGTCTCCCACTTGCACTTAGAGTCAATAATCTAGATTACATAGTAATGATTCTAACACCCATGGAGTCTTGGTGCTGATCAAGTTTTGCTCGTGAAAGAGGCTTAGTCAATGGGTCTGCAACATTTAGATCTGTATGTATTTTGCAAATATCTATGCCTCCCTCCTTGACTTGATCGCAGATGGAATTGAAGCATCTCTTGATGTGTTTGGTTCTCTTGTGAAATCCGGATTCCTTCGCTAAGGCAATTGCTCCAGTATTGTCACAAAAGATTATCATTGGACCCGATGCACTAGGTATTACACCTAGATCGGATATGAACTCCTTCATCCAGACTCCTTCATTTGCTGCTTCCGAAGCAGCTATGTACTTCGCTTCACACGTAGATCCCGCCACGACGCTCTGCTTGGAACTGCACCAACTTATAGCTCCACCATTTAATACAAATACGTATCCGGTTTGCGACTTTGAGTCATCCGAATAAGTGTCAAAGCTTGCATCGACGTAACCATTTACTGTTGGGGATTGTTGCAGAAATTAAAAAAATTCTATGCATCACCAAGATCAATCTATGGAGTTTACTAGCAATGAGAGGGGAGTGCATATTCATACCTTTGAAGATCGCGATGCGGAAGTGTTGCAAGAATGCGGTCGGTGGAGTCGTACACGAAGCGATTCAGATCGCGGCCGATTCCGATCTAAGCACCGAACAACGGTGCCTCCGCATTCAACACATGTGCAGCCCAATGACGTCTCCCGCGCCTTGATCCAGCAAGGAGAGAGGGAGAGGTTGGGGAAGACTCCGTCCAGCAGCAGCACGATGGCGTGGTGGTGGTGGAGGAGCGTGGCACTCCAGCAGGGCTTCGCCAAGCACTGCGAGAGACGAGGAGGGAGAGGGGTAGGGCTGCGCCAGGAGAGAGGGAGACTCGTGTCTCTGGCAGCCCAAAACCCCCACTATATATAGGGGAAGGGGAGG